TGGTGCAGCCCAGCACCCATTTTAGAGATCCGGAAACTGTGGCCCAGGGCAGTGAAGGGACCTGGTCCAGTTCTTGGAGCATGCCTGGCACCAGGCCCAGCTCCACCAGCGCACATGTCATAACAGCCATATGTCTTTCGTTACTTGAAAAGGAGGCCGTGTGGCCCTAGAACGTCATTCCCTCTCTGGTCCTTGTGTTCCTTATCTTGAACATGGGAAAACTGGTTTAGATCAGTGTTTTCAAGGTCCTAATGGTGCAGGTTGCTGGGCCCCTGACTCGGACTATGAATCAGAATGTGGTCAAGTACTGCCAGTCAACTAGATGATCCTAAAGTTTTTTCCAGGACTAGCTTATCATGAGCTTTGCCCGCCCTCCCCGCCGCTTGCCCCTGCTCCCATGAAGAGCCCTGCCCAGGGCCGAGTTCCTCGCATTGGCATGCCCAGTCTTCTGACCACAGAGGCAGAAAGTTGGCTACAAGTGCCCTCCTTTGATCGTTCTGGTCTGCACTTTTTGAGACAGCCCTTATAGGTCGCAGGCATGGGAGTCTTTGACGTGAAAATGCACCCTTTCTCATCCCCAGAACAGCTTGCGAGCAAATCACGCCCAGGTAGCCAGCCAGGCATCCTCTGCCCCTCACTGGCTGGTCACCTCTGGGAAGCTCTTGACTTCTGGGGGCCTCCTTTCTTCATCTGTCCAAGTGAGGAAATCACATCAAGTGTGTTGACGCTCACCCAAGCCCATCAACCCTGGACAATGGGAATTAATGTCCGGCCCTGGGTTCGGCTCTGCACAGAGAGTTTAAGTAAGTTGCCTAAGGTCACCAGCAAGTTGCTGGTGGGTTTGCAGCTGGAGCAGGGCCTCCCAGACTCCCGGAGGGGGCCTACCCCTGCACCATACCTTGCTTCTGAATGGTGACCTTCCAGGGCCACTGAAATAGTGTATTCCCCTGCCCGTGGCAAGTGCTCAATTCGAAGGACATTGTAGACATCTTCTCAGCACTTATGCTCTTGAGCCGATTGCCACTGAAATGAGATTTATTTTAGATGCCCTAATGAAAAGTTTGGGAGAAGTTGTGGATATTTATAGTAGGCTCTTGGCATTTGAAGACTAACCATTTGCATTGTCCGTTGTTTGAGAGTGACCCGACCCTAAGGGTCAATGCTACTAATTATGTGTAATAGTGACTTTTTAAAATTTCAGAATATTATTGGGGTACAAACGTTTTGGTTACATGAATTACTTTTGTACAGTTTGAGCCAGAGTTATAAGCGTGTCCATCACCCAGATAGTGTGCATTGTACCCGTTAGGTGTGAATTTCCCCATCCCCTCCTCTCTCTCCCATCTGCATGATTTCCATTGAATTTTACTATCATATGTACACACGACTGTTGATCATTTAGTTCCAATTTAATAGTGAGTACATGTGGTGTTTGTTGTTCCATTCCTGAAATACTTAGGGGGATGGTCTCTAGCTCCATCCAGGTTGTTACAAAATGTATTAGTTTACCATTTTTTTTATGGCTGAGTAGTACTCCATGGTATACATATACCACATTTTATTATCCACTCATGTATTGATGGGCACTTGGGTTGTTCCCACATCTTTGCGATTGTGAATTGTGCTGCTATAAATATTCAAATGCAAATGTCTTTTTTTCCTTTGTGTAAATACCCAGTAGTGAGATTCCTGGATCAAATGGTAGGTCTACCTCAGTTCTTTGAGGTACCTCCATACTGCTTTCCATAGAGGCTGAACTAGTTTGCAGTCCCACCAACAGTGGATAAGTGTTCCTTTCTCTCTGCATCAGCACCAGCATCTGTTCTTTTGGGACTTTTTGATAAAAGCCATTCTCACTGGAGTTAGGTGATATCTCATTGTGGTTTTTATTTCCATTTCCCTGATAATTAGAGATGTTGAGCATTTTTTCATGTTTATTGGCCATTAGTTTATCTTCTTTTGAAAAACTTCTGTTCATGTCTTTTGCCCACTTTTTAATGAGGTTGTTTGATGTCTTCTTGCTGATTTGCTTGAGTTTGTTATAGATTCTGGTTATTAGCCCTTTATCAGATGCATAGCATGCAAATATTTTCTCCCATTCTGTAGGTTGTCTGTTTGCTCTATTGATTGTTTCCTTGGTGGCGTGGAAGCTTTTTAATTTAATCAGGTCCCACTTATTTATTTTTGTTGTTGCTGTGATTGCCTTTGGGGTCTTCTTCATAAATTCTTTTCCTAGGCCGACATCTATGAGAGTTTTTCCAACTTCTTCTTCTAGAATTCTTATAGTTTCATGCCTTAAATTTAAGTCTGTTATCCATCATGAATTAGTTTTTGTGAGAGGTGAGAGGTGTGGATCCTGTTTCAGTCTTCTACGTGTAGCTTTCCAATTTCCCAATTTATTAAATAGGGATTCTTTTCCCCAGTGTGTTTTTGTCTGCTTTGTCAAAGATCAGATGGCAATATGAGGATGGTTTTATATCTGGGTTCTCTGTTCTGATCCATTAGTCTATGTCTCTGTTCTTGTGCCAATACCATGCTGTTTTGGTTACTATAACCTTGTGGTATAGCTTGAAGTCTGATAAAGTGATGCCTCCCGGTTCGTTATCTTTGCTTAAGATTGCTTTGGCTATTTGGGGTCTTTTTTGGTTCCATATGAAGCACAGAATTATTTTTAATTAATATTATTTTAATTATTTAATTAATATTATTTTAAATTATTTTTTAAATTTTTTTGGAAAATCTACCTCCTAAGGTTGTGGTGAGGATTAAATAAGATAACATGTTTAAAGCCCTACCCAGCTGATGCTGAGCTAAGCCCTCTGCCAGGCCCTGGTGGGGCAGCCTCACTGACCACCTAGCATTTGTGTTTCCATCAGAGCCTGGACAAATCACTGTAGGGTTAGAGATGGCACTATGCATGCCCCCTTACGTTTTCACACAGGTCACAGTGCAGCGGGGAGAAGGAGGCCTTGGCTCCCAGGGTCCCAGCTCTGCCATTCCCTCTGGGTGATCTTGGCAAGTTCCCCTGTCTGGGCCTCAGTCTGTCCACCTGCAGAGTGAAGGATGTGCCTAAGCCATTGGTTCTCAACATGTGGTCCATGGACCATCCACAGCATCTGGCAACTTGTTAGAAATGCAAATTCTTTGCCCCCCTCCTGATACTCCAGACCTACTATATCAGAACCTCTGGAAATAGGGCCCAATGCTGTTTTATCAAGTCCTGACATTGGCTCTGATGCATGCTCAAGTTTGGGACCCACTAGCCTGGATGCTAAGGCCCTTTCCTGCTCAAAAATCCAATCCTCTGGGTGAAATCTGGGTTACAGACACCATGGCAGTGCTGGTGGGGAGTGGGTATCACAGCGGGGTACTGTGTAGCCTGGGGGTGGCTGGTAGGGGTGTAGAAGAGGCAGGAGCAGGGGGATGTGGCAGGGAGGAAGGTCTGGTTGAGGAGGAGCAGCCAATTTTGGGCAACAGCACCCCCTTTCCTCCTCCCTGTCCACCCACACCCCTCCATCTCTCCTTCCCAGGGTCCCTCCAGCCCTGCTGTGAGCATAGGTAGGAAGACTGGATCTGTCTTCTCTGATTCTCCTCCGCTGGTGCCAGCCAGTGTTCATGGAAATGTCCTTTTCTTTCCTGCCCCGCCCCTGGGGAACTGTTTTGAAAATGAGAGCCCGTGAGACCTCTAGTGGCCAGGGGATACCAGGAGCCCAGGACCTGCATCTGCTGTCCAGGTGTGATGGTTTAAGTCTGGCCATTTTTAGGGAGGACACCTGGGCTCCACATCTGCTCCGACCTCAAAGCCTGAAATTATATGCAGATGCTCCACCCAAACCACACCTGCGGGGAGGAGGCGGGAGCTAGACACAGAGCTTCCTGGCCTGCCTGGCCCCGCTGGAGAAGGCTGCAGAATGATCTTGAGAGTAATCCTTGCAGCCTGGCTGCCTGTACTTCAGCAGTGCATATTTCCCAGTGCTCAGTCTTTAGGAAAACAACCCCTGAGGTCAGTTTTCTTTTCAAGACCACCAGGAGGTGTGTTAACTCCAGCTCACACAAACCCAGATTCTCCCCAAGCCCTGGCCAATGGGAAGTGTTCTGTGAAATTTGGATTTAGTCAAGGGGCCGAACTTGGGGATCTGGAGGGCCACATGTGGCCTTGAGGCTGCAGGTTTCCCACCCCTGCTAGGTTCAGCTCTGCACAGAGAGGTTAAGTAAGTTGCCTAAGGCCACTCAGCAATTTAGTGGTGGGTCTGCAGCTGGAGCAGGGGCTCCCAGACCCCCGATAGGAGCCCCACCCTACAGCATACCTTACCTCTGGTAATACCACTTAAACCCTGAAAAGTACTGCCGTAGATTAGGCTGCATTCTTGTTGCACCTGGCTCTTTTGTAAACCCTGAAATAGTGCAGACAAAGAGGAGAGCCCAGGGCTTAGGATAAGAAACCACCACGCAGGAGACCTGAACAAGGTGTGCCCGGGTTTCTGTAGCCTCCCAGCTTAGTGCCAAGGACAGACAGATCTGAACAGCCCAGAGGCTGGGATGGGATCAGGGGCTTTGGGCAAAAGCACAAGGATGAACCCAGAAGGGAGACTGTTGTCTGGAGAGAGCGGGTGTGAGATAAAAATGCAATCCAGTATCAGAAAAGGTTGCTGCACCGTCAGAGAACTAAGGCCAGAATGCTGACTTCGGGAGAAGTATCTTCCCAGCAAGTTCATATTCCAGTATGTGAGATAAGCCCCTGATAAAGAGTGGGGCTCCGAGCTTGAGTGTGAAAAGAGGTTTGGGGGGGCAGGGGGAGGCCTTTCAGGACACTGCTCCTTCCCTATCTCTCTAATCCAGGTGAGTAGACATACCTGTTTGGGGTGGGACAACAGTTGAAGGGAGATCCTAGCACGAGCCCCATTTGCGGGGTTTGACTCCACGGCACCAGGGAGCCTCAGCAGGTTCTGGAGGAAAGGGGAGCGGAGGTTTAGGACTGACTCCCAGGCTCTGCATTGCAGGCAGGACAAGCTGAAGATCCACATGCGGAAGCACACGGGGGAGCGGCCCTACCTGTGCATTCACTGCAACGCCAAGTTCGTGCACAACTACGACCTCAAGAACCACATGCGCATCCACACGGGCGTGCGGCCCTACCAGTGCGAGTTCTGCTACAAGAGCTTCACGCGCTCCGACCACCTGCACCGCCACATCAAGCGCCAGAGCTGCCGCATGGCGCGGCCCCGGCGCGGCCGCAAGCCCGCCGCCTGGAGGGCCGCCAGCCTGCTCTTTGGGCCCGGCGGCCCGGCCCCGGAGAAGGCGGCCTTCGTGATGCCGCCCGCGCTGGGCGAGGTGGGCGGCCACCTGGGCGGCGCCACCGTGTGCCTCCCAGGCCCCAGCCCCGCCAAGCACTTCCTGGCGGCGCCCAAGGGCGCCCTGAGCCTGCAGGAGCTCGAGCGGCAGTTCGAGGAGACGCAGATGAAGCTGTTCGGGCGCGCCCAGCTGGAGGCCGAGAGGAACGCGGGGGGCCTCCTGGCCTTCGCGCTGGCCGAGAACGTGGCCGCGGCGCGGCCCTACTTCCCGCTGCCCGACCCGTGGGCCGCGGGCCTGGCCGGCCTCCCCGGGCTCGCCGGCCTCAACCACGTGGCCTCCATGTCTGAAGCCAACAACTAGGCTGGTCCTGGCCGACCCCAGCCCCCAGCCCTGTCTTCTCTTCCACCAGGCCCACTCTGCCCCACCTGGCGGGTCTGAACTTTTTGTTTTAAAAACACAAAGGGAAAATGAAAAATATATATATATCAGCAGCAAGGGCATTTTTTGGGCCTTCTCAGGCAGCTGCCTCCCTTTTTGCTGGTGTCTGAGACGGGCGTCTCCTCCCGAAGGGCCTGGAGCCCCGGGCCCCCCTCTCCCTGGCTGTCTCTCTGCCTCTCCCACAGAAACTTGCACGGGCCCAAGCCACCGAGGAGGGCCACACGCTGAGTCCCCAGGGAGCACTTTGGAGCTGTGTGGGCTATTGGGAGGCGGGTTGCTTAGCCTGGAGACCAACAGGCTGGAGCGGGGATGAGGGTGGGCCCTGCCAGCACTGCTCTGAGGGGACGTTTTCCAGTCCCCAGCAGTCCCAGAGTCCTTCAGAGAAATGCCCACCTGCCACGTAGACAGAAACACCCTATTGGCAGGGAGGCCTCCCAGAGACAGGAGCCTTCTAACGTTTTTTCCCTTACCCGTCCTGTGACCTTGGACAGATCAGCCCTCTGTACCTGGATGTCACCTTGCTATGAAGGCGGCTGGTAATTTAGGTTCGCTCTCCCCACCCACACACACATACCTGTCCTCCCAAAGAGAACCCTGGAGAGGATAGAGCTTTACACTCCCAAAGTCCCTGGTGACGCAGTTTATCTTCCCGGACTTAGTGTTATCACACTTAGTGTTATCACGTCCACCTCCAGCATATTAGCATAGGTGAGAAATGTGGCCAAACTAGACAGGAGTGATGGGAGGTCGGGGGCGTCATTGCTTGACCATAGCGCACAGGCAGCTCTGGGAACGCCACATGCTGCCTGCTTTCCGGGCAGGTCCCTGTTCACATCTGGACCCCATCTCCACACGCCCCCTCCAGGGCTGGACAGAGTCTCTTGGGACGCCTGGGGCCAACATCAAAGGGATGGGGGCCACCTCTTAACACCTGGCGCCTGCCTCTCTTCACCTGATTCCTGAAAACCGAAAAAAACGCCTGGCTTCCCAGAGTTTATGTTTGCTTTTCGAGTTGCGGGTTCCTCCAGGCCTTGGCATTGCTGGCAATTGCCCCCTCTGCTGCACTTGAAACCGCTCGGCTCCTTCCTCCCCACTCTGGGGATGAAGCAGGCGTCTGTGGCTCCCCGATTTTGACTTAAAGGGCTCAGTGTGGGGAGGTTCAAAGGGCTCTGTTAGGACTGACACACGTTCTCCTGGTTCTTGAGTTTGTAGCAGGTCGTGACAAGGAAGACAGCTCTGCTGGCCCGGTGCCTTCCTGACCTTCTCTCCCCTTCCCTCCCCTCCCCTTTCCTCCTCTTCCCTCCAGTGCTGAGCTTGCTTTGGCTTCTCAGCAGCCCAGAGAGGAGGAGAGTCCATCCGCAGAGAGGGCCCAGGGCTGGAGTCCCCAGTCCCTATACTGTGGGCACAAGAGACTTCAGCTCTTCCTGTCGCCTTGGCTTTTTCCTGAGCAAAAACACACAAAAAACAAAAAGGCCAGGGAAGAGCACAGACTCTGTCCCTCTCACAGCTCCCCAGGAGAGACCCTCCTGACACCAGCTGCCATTTCAGCTCTAGACACTCTGGTCCTTGGAAGTCCTCTGCCTGGGCAGCCACCTCTCAGATTCCCGTCTCCATTTCAGACACTTGCCTCTGGGACCCACCAGCCAACATGCCCGTGTCCCCCCCATCGGCCGAGGGATTGGGGCTCAACCAAACTTAAAAGGAAAAATGAACAAATTGGAATCCAGTGGTGTTGGGGCTTTTGTCTTTATTTTGTAAAGGTAATGACTTCTTATAAACTCAATTTTTCAGATGACTGGTTAGTTCTTTTTGTTTTTTCTTGCTGCAGTTTGGAGTTGTACATTGTAAAATATCCAAAGATGTTGAGTACTGTATGATCAAGAACTTGAAGCAAATGGGTTGCGGGGGGAGGAGTGGTTGTGTTTTTATTTTGTTTCTTTTTCTTTTTTCTTCTTTTTTTTCCTTTTTGACGTTTCGATTTCCCTGTCTGTCTGTGGGAGAACTTCGGAATTTTTTTCTATTTATAACTCTTTTTTTATGTGATTGCTCTATGTAAAATGACACTCAACAAAGTTTGCCTTAGTGATTCAAGGGACAATCTTCCATAACTTTGGTTGCACGCCGCATCCCGCCGAGAAAAACTCTCAGCTAATTTTCTGGCCTATTTATTAAACAGTATTCATTGACTTGATTAAATTATATTGAGAGTTGCACTTCTGTGACGTATGACTTCCGGAAGTTCACAGGACAGCAACAAGCCAAGCCAATCTTAAGGTTTTGACTATTGGGTGTCATAAACCTAAAATAATGTCAAAGACACCTTTACCAAAACCACAAATCTTTGATCCTTATTTAATAATTTGAAGAACAGTGTCTTAAGTGAAAGCAAGCTATGCTGGCTTGACTCCCGGTTCCCTGGTTAAGATTGATTGCTCCCTTCCAATTCCCATCCGAGTTATCAGTGGGCGTCGCGCGGGCGGTGTGGACAGAACTCAGTTCTCCTGTAGTCCCCTACATTTCAGCCTCCCTTTGGGCATCTGTGGGCCTGAGTGCAAGGTGTGTGCCTGTGGCGTGTGAGCGGGCAGTGTCACGGGGTTGCTGACTTTTAACACAGCCATTCCCGCCAGCTACCCGGCCTGGCGTGCAGAGTGGGCGCCCGCTGGCCTGGCTGCGGGGCGGGCCTTCTCCCTCTTGTGCCCTGGCGCTAGAGTTGGGCTTCTCTCCCTTCCTTCGCCTGAGCCTCTTCCCAGAGGACAGTAGATCCTAAAAGAGGTAAGGAAATACACCTGTCTCATCCAAAGGGCTCAGCTCTACTCAGAAGCCACAGCACAGACTCTTAGTAAAACTGTTCTTTGAACTGCGTTTTCTGGGTACCCCAGGGTTACCCCATAGCTCCCTTTCTTTGTCCAATTCCCTTCCTTGCTCTAGTAGGCGCCTTCTTCTATGCAGCATTTCTCGGTACAGAGAAAAGAACCGATGTGGGTTTCAGATTAGGACTCCCCCGGGCTGTGTTCTCAGTGCTCTGGTCCTCACTTCGCTCCCTCTCGTAATAAAGGAAACTGAGTGTATCAGGGCGTCTCCAAGTTCGCCACCCAAACACCCCTCAGCAGAGGCTGCAACCAGGGGGTGGACTGCAGGTGGAGCTCTAAAGAAATAGCCTGCAGTAGCCTTCCTGTAGTGTGAAACTCCTTTGACGTCTCCTGCTTTGGCTTTGAACTTCACGCTTGCACATTCTATTACACAACATACATAGAAATATTGTCTTGAACTACCTGCCAGTCAAATTGCTCGCCTTTTCCCCAGAAACCTATTGTGAAGTCAGAGTGTTCCTTGGCTACCTGCAGCTTTGGGAGAGCCCCCTCCCAGCCCCGCTCACGGCCAAGGGCTTGAGGCTGAGCGTAGCTCAGAGCAAGACACACAAGGTTAGACACTCAAAATTCCAGTCTGCTTAGGTGTTCTAGGGTCCCTTGGTTCTCATTCTGGGGGTCGGTGTTCACTGAGAGACGCAGGTGAGGACAGAAGGCGTAGGAGACTGGGCCCAGTGGGCCCTGACCCTCTGGGTGCTCCTGAACTCCTCCTGCGAACAGTATCTCCTGGTCCGGGCCGGGCAGGAATCCTCTTCAGCCCTGCGGCACGTGGCCTACTCCCTGGGGCCCCGAGGTGCTAAGGGCGGTGGGGTACGGACAGCCAAGGAGGCTTCGGTGGGGGGAGTGGGAGTGAAGGAGGAGGATGAGGCTGGAGGACAGGCCAAAGAAACGTGCCCCTTCACCTACAGAAGAAGGCTTAAGGGACACATGGGAACGGGCCTTGGGACTGCAAGTATATTGAGTAGGGGAATGGTTTTACCAAAACTGTGGCCAACTTGAACCGATAGGAGAGAGATTCCAGGAGGCACCTGGGAGCTGAAACGGAGGAAGATAACTCCCTAACATCTGGAGGTGTCCTAAAGAGAAATGAGGTCCCTTGTGAGGGGTGAGCTCTCAGTCATTGGAGGTGTTCAACACTTCCTTTCAAGAATGCTGGAGAGGAGATTCCGCATGGGAAGGAGGGCTTTCCAGACGGTCCCATGGGCCCCTTCCATCTGATTTGTGAACAGGTGAATGTATATCCCCATACGACCACAGATGGACTGTGCCAGCAAGAGGGGCCGGCAAGTGAAAAAGCAGACTTTAGGCACGTTCACAAAGCTCAGCTCAGTGGCCCGGAGCTTCCAGACCCTTCTCCCCCACCAGTGACCTACAGCACGGCAGGGCCAGGGAAATGGGACTCCGTAGAAAAGGCCCTGACTCTTATTTCCAGCCCCTGAACATGTGACAAGGAAACAGCAGTGCACCAACAGGAAGTGAGACTCTCACCTTGCGCCTTTATCTGACCCAGAACCTGCCCCACCGAGAAGGACAATCCGCTTCGCAGACACGCACAGCCCTCTCCTGGGGCCTTTGTCCCTGAGGGCGCCGGCTTCACAGGGAGGGTAGTGCTGCCACAGGCCCCCTTGTCTGAAAGTCAGTCCCTCAGCCAGAAGCAGAGAGCTGGGGGCACAGGGGACCCTACCGGAGGGAAATGCAGCTCAACACATGTGCCGAGGAACAGAGGCCCCTCCAGGGACCTGGGACGCCCCAGGACAAATCCTGGAATGGAGGAGGTTTGTCTCCAGCAACCCCCCAACTTCCAAACCCCCCAGCGTTCTCCTTTTCCCTAATTCTGGTGCCCTTCCTACCCCACCTGCCCCTCAGCGGGTGGGCGCCCTTCCTTCCTCTCTGTCCTCCCCTCTGCCCAAACCTGCCCTGGAGAAGGGGCCCTGACTGGAGTCCCCAAGCATGAATGTGACTCACTGGCTCCCTCTCCTGGCCTTTGCAGCCCCTGCACCCCCCTGGCAAAGCAACGTCAGGTCTCCAGCAGCAAGCAAGCACGGAGGGGCCTTGAAGTCACACCAGTGGGTCGTCACCTGCTCCCACCCATCTCTCCCCTGCCCCACCCAGCTTCCTGGCTCCGGCGGGGAC